ATGTGCAAAGGAGTGTCCTGTAGAAGGAGTATTTTGAAATCCTCACGAGAGGCACTGAGGTGGTCTCGGACAAATAGAGAAAGCCCTCCTCGGACGGGGGTACACAGCAGTTTTCCCTCAGCTAATGTATAAATTAATGGAATCACAGTAAGAATTACCAACAAAAAATACCTTCTTTCCTGAGCTAGTCAAGCTCTTAAAGCTCATATACTTGTAAATGTGCAAGAAGAAATAGGGAAGTGCTGGGGAAAGAAGCAGTGACAGAGTACGGTCTCAGCAGAGTCTGGAACCTCTGGAACCCTCTGTTCTTACGGCAGTGGGTTACTGGGCATGGGCAGACAGGCATGCTGGTTGGATGGAATAGGCAACTGGGAAACAGACTCGGGGAAACAGTACTGATGGAGATTTGGTGGATGACAAAGAGGAGTCTCAAAGTGTTGGGAGCGGACTTAGTGATCTGATGGCCACAGTGAAAAGAGAACGGTGCATCCTTACCTCACACCACACACAAGAATATGGATCCGAGATGTAAAATGTGCCCCACAAGATTTTCCCTGGGAACTAATGGCTGAGTTGAACATCCTGCGGCCTGTGTGCATAACCTGACCCAGAGTCTATGGAACGTATCAGAAGTGGCTGGTACACCTCTCACATACTATGGACCCTTCAACTGTGGCTCTTTTTTTTTTTTTAAGATCGATTGATTTGAGAGAGAGAGCGCGAGCATGAGTGGGAGGGACCGAGGGAGAGGAAGAGAGAATCCCAATCAGACTTGGTGCGGAGCATGGAGCCTGATGCTGGGCTCGATCTCAACGACCCTGAGATCATGACCTGAGCCGACGCCAAGAGTCGGACTTAAGTGACTGAGCCACACAGACGCCCCTCGATTGTGGCTCTTGAACAGAAATGCTTGCATAGGCTCTTCTGCCTTTAACTGGCTCTCCCCTCACAGGCTTGGTTGCCGTGGTCGCTGTTCAGTTTAGATCTTTGGTACCCAATGTTCGTATTTCTAAGTGCATGATGCCTAAATTTTATTTTTAAAGTATCCTCTGTCATCCCCTAAAAAGCTTATAAAATCCCCAGGGCTTGCAGAAAGAGCATTTGGAAACCGGCTTTGCCAAGTGATACCTGCTGAAGAGCACTTGGGTATTGTCTTCAAGGTGCCTGGCTCTAAACCAGGTTGGTCAGATCTTTAAGGAACCCCAGTGTCCACTAACACGAGTAGATTTTGTTAGTCAGTTCAGCCTCATTTAAAGGTACCAGTTGGAAAGTGGCTTGCGCTCTGGGAATTTGTGCTAACTTGTGTGGGCGTTACTGCCTTGGCTTGAGAGCTAATGTGCGGGAGTCTGGAGAGCTGTGAGACCTGGATGGACTTTTGTATTTACTAACTGCTGCTTACAATCAAACTCACTGGAGATGCTAACGATATTTGTCATTTTCATCAATATAGATGACAGTGAAGTTGCCTGTGTAAAATCTATTCACTGTGCCACTGCGTTTGCTCGGCTTGAGGAAGGGAAGCCAGCTGTGTTAATGCCTAGCCTCCTTGAATGACAGGTAAACCCCACGCCACGCTCATGCCATTTCACGCGGGCTTCCCTGCAGCCTGACCCTGGTTGCTGGCCGCCCAGGTCACATGGGTGTGGTGCTCTTGGAGAGAGCTGGTACAGGCGGGATTGGTTTCCACTGCACACAGGCCCTAGTGCATTCTGCTCAGCAGGTTAGCTGGCTATCAATCATTCATTCATGTGTTCATCCGCTCTTTCTATGACCTCCCCCGGCTCCTGCTGTGTGGCCAGGCATCGTGGGAGGTGAGGGGACAGATGAAGCGTGGGTGGCGGCCTCTGCCATGTGAGCTTCTCCCTGCCCTGGCCAGGGTCGAGTTACCCAGGTACAGGCCAGAGCCCCCGGCACGAGGGGTGGGGCCGCGGCCCATCTTCCGGGGAGAGCTGAGCTGGAGATGGGTCTTCAGAGACGCCATCCGAACACGTTGTGGGAGGCTGCGGTGGCAAGCTGGGGCTTTTGGAGAATTCCCCAGGGATTCTTACACTCCCGAGAGGGAATAGCTGGTACCCTTTTCCCTGCCACAGACCGCATCCGGGAGGCTCCCTCCGCCTGCTGTGGGACAGTGTGGCTTGAGCCCACTGGCATTTTCCTGTCCACTTTGGGCAACAACTGATTTGGTTCCATGAAGAGGCAGTGACGTTGAGTTTGCCACATCTGGCCCAGTTGATGGATTCAGAATGTAGTAGTGTAAAATGTAATGTTTCAGCATTTCAGTAGAAGTCTTTTTCCCATTTAATAATAACCTTTGAACAGAGTTTTTCAATTTTGGTCTAGTTGACATTTGGGGCCAGATCATTCTCTAGCGTGGGGCCGTGTTGAGCAGCATCCTGGCCCCGACCCACCTTGTGACAACCAGAAACGTGTCCAGGCATTGACTGGTGTCCTCAGGTGCAGCATTCCTGGTGGAGAACCAGTGCCTTAGAAGAGCTCGCAGATACCTAGTGCGGAGCTCGGTCGGATTTCTTGCTGGTGCTGCCATGGCCTTGGGAGAGGCCGCCCTCATTCAGCGTGGGTGTCAGGACGGCGGCAGCCGTGGGTAGGGGCACCGGGACCCAGCTGGATGCTTTTCTGTTCATAAGTAAGTCACTAGGATTCTTAGAAAACAGTGACTGTCATTCCTGCCCCCAGAACCCCGGTCATCATCAGTGTGGGCTTTGAAAACCTGTCTGGATACATGTCCTTAATATAAAAATGATCCATCTTATTTGGTGGAAAAAGGCATTTAAATTAAAATCACGGATGCTATTTTGGTATAAGATTGACAGGTTGACAAACAGATTTCTTCTCTTCCACTTTCTTAGGTCAGGGATCACTCCCAAGGTAGGGAGGGATTGGGAACAGCAGGTGTTGGTCATTGTTAATGCTGGGCGATTTGGGGTTTAACACTGTTTTGTTTACTTTGTATTTTAGAAATAGTTTCATAAACTACATTTTCTGAAACGATTGAGGTTATCTAACCCTGGTTGTTCTTTGTTTTGTTTTTGTTTTGTTGTTTGTTTTGAGAGAGAGAGAGCATGCGCGTGGGGCGGCGGGGGGGTGGTGGGGCAGAGGGAGAGGAAGAATCTCAAGCAGGCTCGATCTCATGACCCTGAGATCATGACCTGAGCTGACCCCAAGAGTCAGATGCTCAACCGACTGAGCCACCCAGGCGCCTGCAAAGCCCTGGTTTTAATTGAGCTGTTATATGGTAGGGGACACTTGGAAAATTTGAGAGCAGTCTTGACGGGGATCATCCTTGTGAAGTGTAGCGGCACTGGGGGGCGTGAGACACACACATGCAGACAAGGACACGGGCTTGCGGGCCCCAAGGATGCGCCCGTTGCAGCAGGAAGGGGCTGGGAGGGAGCCCTGAAGTGGTAACATGATGAGGGAGGGACTTGACCTCAGGGGACAGCAGCCCGGCCTTGCCTGAGGCTGGAGCCCCACCATTGCCCCCAGGGCTTCCCAAGGGGGTCTCAGGGTGAAGGCCGCCCTTGGTTGGTCATTGGTTCTGGGGGGAAAGGGAGAAGGAGCTAATTAAGACCATCTTTGGTTAAGTGAATATGAACTAGAGATATTTTTAATTAAACCAGTTGTTGAAAATCTCTGGTAAGATTTCAACTCGCAGACCTACCTTAAAATAAGGCAGGATGATTTCAGGGCCCCCTCTTCTTACGAAGATCAGAGTGAGGAGAACCCCAGTGCCTGGAGGCCTGTGTCCTGCAGAGCGCATGGGTGGGGCTGCATCCTTAGTCTTACCTTGCATTTTCCTAAAACCTTTCTAAGGGGAAAGTTCTAGTTAGATGCAAGGCAGTGGACGCTTTATTGTGGTGTGTTCCTCTGGGTAGAGAATGCATCACAAAGCCGGGTCGAGGGGCCAGGACCGTGGGAATGTAGGACTGGGGTCGGGAGTTGGACACCACTAGGAATGCCATATGTGGGTCGGGAGTCTGTGAGCCCCTAGACAGGATACTCAGAGTTTGCCATGCAGGTACTTTTCTCCTGGAGAGGGGCTGTTAAGCTGCCAAGGTTAAAGACCACTGCTGTGGACAGCCCATAGCATGCACTCAGCTGCCTTTCGGTGGACTTGGAACATTACCTCCCTTCGGGTGGCAAGTCACCCCATCCTTGCTCTACCCACCTCCCTGCTTTCCACTCCTGGGTGGCATCTTCGCTCCTTAATCCAGCCTCCCTGCCTCCCCAGCCTCTCCATACCCACTCCCCGGAGGCTGACAATTCTTGCTGGTTCTTGCCGTCTCAAGAGTGGAAGCTGAGCTCTCTTCGGCTGTCTGCCCTTCATTGTCCTGTCTTTACCCTGCCCCAGGATTAGATCCATACAAGGTGTTTCTCTTGGAATTCGGGTTTGTGTTTTTCAGCAGCTGACCCAGAGTCAGCACCAGAGAAGCTGTGGCGGTCTGAGGTTGGGGTCTCCCAGGTGGCCGAGGACCAGTCCGTGGAGCGCCTAGACAGCCAGGGGTGGGAGGCCGCACGGCGGCCGCCCCCGACTGACTCTCTGCCGGGGTTGTTTTCCTCTTTTGCAGATCAGCCAGTCACTCGATGGGGAGCAACGGCGGACCTCCTTTTTGTGTCACCTTCCCACCTCTCTGTAGCAAGAAAAGTAACTTCAGCACCTCTTCAGTAATAATGATGAAACTGGTATTAACTGAATGGCAATTATGGATTTTTAACTCTAATTCACAGTAAACCAGCAAGCCATATGTTTAAAATCCAACCAAAAATCATTTTGTTTTGCTGCGTGTCTCACCCGCTTGTGAGAAGTTGCGAGATCTCTATTTGTACAAAGAGGGATATGAGCATCACTTGCCGGAGGAACACAACTGAAGCAGAGAGAGAAGGCGTCCTAATTTATCCTTAAAGATACCTGATAGTATTATTTATATAGGTAGAGAAAAAAAATATATATATATACACACATATATATGTTTTTGTTGGTAATGAGAATGGCCCCACAGAACGCCGACTCGGAATCTATGCAAGTTCAGGAGTTGCCTGTGCCCCTGCCGGATCTGCAGAAGCCGGGAAGCGCGGATACCCACGATGAGACCATCAGCGAGGGGTCCATAGACCGGATCCCCGTGCGCCTGTGGGTGATGCACGGGGCCGTGATGTTTGGCAGGGAGTTCTGTTACGCCATGGAGACGGCGTTGGTCACGCCGATCCTCTTGCAGATTGGTAAGTGCCGTCCGCGCCTCTGCCTGGTCCTTAGCACCGAGCGTTGGCGTTCGCCGTTTGAACACACAAGCGGACGTCAGCACGCAGACCTCGTCGCGTGCACTGGGAAGTGTTCAAGAACCCTGGGGGCCAGCATCCTGTCCTTGCTCCCCTCCACCTCCTGGCCATTTTTTCCCTCCCGTTCTGGGCTGGGGCTGGGGTGGCGGGTGGGCCTTGGATGGCGACAAGGAAGTACCTGTTTCAGCAAGGTGGTAGTCGAGCGCCTGAATGTGTGCAGTCAGCTTCGATACATTCTACTCCCAGTGTGCCTGTCTCCCCTGCGGTACCTCCTGCCCTGCTCCTGCCTCCCAGACACGGTCACCAGCCTTGTCCTTCCTGGGTCAGGCCAGGGAACCTCCCTGACTCTCCCTTAGCTTCCTTCCCGAGAAGGGGAGGGTGACTGCAGACCGTCCCCTGGTCGGGCACAAGGCAAGTGCTTGGAACAAAGCCTGGCCTAGAAAACCCTGAATAACATGGTTTTTTATTACCAGCCTCTTGTTGACGACTTAAATCTGAGTCTCGTGTGGACTTGAGGTGGCTGAATGACGGGCATTTCCAGAAATACTGGAGTTTACGGAGTTACTCAGCATTACGGAGCCCTGTATGGAAGACACTGGCATCCCGTCCGGATTACATGTCGGTGTTTAGTTTTCCCTGTTGTCTAAGGAAGTTTGAAAATCTGCAAGTTCCCAGCCCCTAAGAGTTCTGGATAAGGGGCCGAGCTGTTTAAAATCTTCTGTTTCATTCCAGAATTCCACATGTGCGTAGTATCTGCTTATTTTGGTTATTTTAGAAATGTTTCTTTCTCCAAACATAATGCTTCCCGTTCGGTGAGCGCTCAGCGCTCTGTGGATCTGTTAGTGAAGTGCAGGGATCTGAAACTCGCCGCGTTTCCTTCGATTATGAATGGCGCCATCATTGGAGAGCGACCTCGGCCGTGGCGGGTGTGCTTGTGATTACTTCAGATCGCCGTGGTCACGGGACGCACCCCTGCATCTTCTCAGCACATTCATTTCTTCTCTCTGTCCTGAGGTTACCGTGCTGCCACACGTTTTTCTGTTTGTAATCCCATGCTTTATCGTGCATCTTTAAAGATGCCCTGAGACGGTTCCGCGAGCCTGGGGCACGGCTGGGAGCTCTTCGGGAGGGTTGGGGATGGTGGAGCATGAGCGATGTGGGTCACTCCTGTTCTTTCATTTCCGTACTCGTCATCCCTGCATTTCTGCTCTCACGTTCCGTACCCAGGAAGGTATGCCAGGGGCCCGAGGGTGGGCAGGACGCCACGTCTCTGCCCATGTGGCCTCCCTCTGGCGGTGGAGGCAGGGGAGTGACCCGACCAGCTAGAGCCACTTCCTGTGACAGGAGGGAGCAGTGTGGCCGCAGACCCTCCGAGGGGGACACCCTCCTTGTGCGGGGGGCTCTGGGTGACAGTGCGGAGAGTGAGCAGAGGGCACTCGGGGAGACAGGGGCTTGGCAAGTTTAAGAAACGAAGACTGGCTTTGTGGCCAGACCTCAGGGAGTCCAGTGGCAATTCACTTTACCAGACATTTATTTTCTTTGTCCCTTCAGCATGGAAGGACTTGGGTTTGGCACCACAGTTGAGGTCATTACAAATGCAGTCATAACCGTAAGTGGGGTGGTTACAGTTAGAAATGGAGTGCCATCATCCAGTTTCTAGACCACCTCGTGGTTATGGTGACAAATACGGGATTCAGAAGCTCTGGTGACTGAGAAATAGGTTGTTCTAGAAGTGCAGATCTGAGGGTGTTACTCCCCAGATTTTCTTTGTGGCAGGTTATATGTATTAAGGCTTAAAACCCTGGCGCTAACAACTCTTTGGAATGTTCTACTTTATAGGTTGAGTCTCAACTTCTATACAACTTAACACGTTTCCTGGCTGGGGTTTGAGTATTTAATGTGCTACATGAGACTAGTATCAGTTTTGGATAATCTGGGATAATAAACACAAGTATTTTACTACAGAGCATAAATGCATATGCTGTGTACTAACGGTAGCTTTGGAAAGCCGTGGGTGTGTCGGCTGCATGCACACCTCCACAGATACTGACTGTCGGGAGTAGAGGAGGGTGCCGACCCTCCCCGCTCCCAGAGCTGGGATCCAAGGAGAGGCTCACCTTGTGTGTGTGGCACTCGGGTGACACCGCAGGGCTCCCCGGGGAAGAGGCCTTTAAGAACTAGGTGTTACCGTCAGCACCTTTCTTGACCCAAAACGGAGCTTCCTCGTGGCCCTGGGATGCCCTGGGTACACCTGCTTCAGTTGGGACCCCCCTGAAATCGAGTAGGGACCAAACGTCTCTAGTGGCCCAGTTGACCTGCTGGGGAGAGAAATGGGCATTGTGAAAACTTGGGAAGTGTCTGGCGACACTTTCAGCTTCAGCATACTTGGCCGTGAGCTGTTTTGTTGTCCTGACAGGTGGAAGCAATGGGTTTTGCCACAGCTTTGCCCGGTCTGTGGTCCTAAAGCCACCCATTAACACAGGGGCTGTTTGTCTTTGCTGTGGCTGCTGGGCAGTGTACCACACAGAGCTGGTAGGTGTTGGGCCATTTCAGCTTCTGTCCCCCCAGCCCTCTGCACCGGTCTCTAAACTGAGCCTGGCCCTCCCTCCATCCGGCCTTGCAGGTCAGTGGTGTTGGAGGACCCTAAGTGAGTCCCAGGGCCTCTGGACACAGAAGGAAGACATGGTACCCTTTGTTCCACAGCCTCCTGGCAGGAGGGCAAATCGGGCAGAGGTGGCTGGGCTCAGAGGATGGACTGAGTGTGCAGGGGCCTCCAGGGGAATACTGATCCCGATGCTTGTGGGAATTTTTGCTGGGGTCCCTAATGCAGCATGGAGATGAGAGAGCTCGTCCCTTCCCTGCTGGCTGGCCACTGTGCAGAAGGCCCGGTTGGCAGATTCGGAGAGTTCTGGAGTCCTCTCTTAGGGAGATGAAGTATACACCGTGATGAGGAATGACCTGCCATGTGATCTTGGCAGATATGAGAGGGGGTGAGCTGTTGAGCTCTTGCCATCTCTGGGGAGCCGGGCCCCATCAAGGGGACCCCAGAGCATGCCTCAGCACCCAGCGGCTGCCCTGATTTGCTGAATCTCCCCATCTTGAGCACCCTGACCTTCCTAGGTCTTTTAGGATCGACATGATTTTGTGGCATACTGAAGAGTAGTGGCTTTCTAAAAATGGACGTTCTGTTTAGTTGAAATAATTATTTTGTAATGCGTCAGTAGACTGCACAGTTTCTGAAAGCTGGCCATCCAGATGTGCTTGGCAGATGTTGGGTGCTTCAGGAGACTGTCCCACAAGGACTTGGATCCTCTCTTGGGAGAGCTTCCTATTGCCTGGTCTGGGACCCAGCAGCCTGCTGTATATGCTCTAACTCTTCGGCCACATTTTAGGGTACATTAAGCAGTGACAATGGGGACCCGTATTTTGGTTGCAAGTCCCCTCCCCAGGGTGTGTATGTGTGTCAACTCGGCATGGGGATGGTGGTGCCCGGGCCTCGGCAGGTTCCAGTGGAAGGCAGTGTCACCAGTCTTCCTGGGCCAACCTGTGAGCTGAGTGGGAGTGACTGTGTGAACCAGCAGGTGGGTGGCCCCAAATTGGGCCAGGTGCCCTGTCACCTGGGCCACCTGCCACACACCGTGGATCTCCAGCAGGTGACAAACCAGTTAACTTTCGTTCTTGCGAAAATTCTCTTCCTGGCTCCTGGTACGGTGGAGTATGGTGGTCTGTTCTTGGTGCCAGATCCTACAACTATAGTTGCAGCTTTTTCTTTTTCTTTTTTCCCCCCAAGATTTTTTTATTTATTTATCAGAGAAAGGGAGCGAGTGAGCATGAGTGGGGAAAGTTCAGAGGGAGAGAGAGTATCCAAGCCGACTCTGCACTGAGCAGAGAGCCCAACCTGGGGCTCAGTCTCATGACCCCAAGATCATGACCTGAGCTGAAACCAAGAGTTAGATGCTTCACTGATTGTGCCTCCAGGTGCCCTGTGCAGCTTTTTCTTCTTGTGCTGAACGTGCTTTGTAGGCACACAGTGTCGGAATGCCCTGACCGGGACCCAGCCCATGCATGGTGCACTGTCGAAGTCAGCTGGGCTGGCCTGTTGCAGTCCTTGGTTGGAGAAATTCAAAAAACAATGATTCCAGAGTATACTTGTTTTATTCTGTAAATTCTGTTCACTGCACAAGTGGGACCGTCAGGAAGAACCCGGGTCTTTCAGTTGTCCTCCCTACTTGTCATTCGTAGCCATGCAGGTTGGTTTTCCTTTCCCAGTAAACTCGGGTCTTGGGGGTTTATTTTTGGTTGCACACTGGTCTTCGGTGATCCTCAGCTAAGTGTTGCGTGTGATGATGAGCAGACTTGGCAGGACTGGTCTGTTTCTGTGCTGTGGGGATGACGGAGCCCATCTGCCTTCGTGTCACTCTGGGAAGGACAGGGCCTTGCTGCCTCCTTTCTCCTCTGACCCTGGAGCTGACCTTTGCTGTCGGCTTGGGCTGTTGCTCTGCAGCATCTGTTAGGGTGTTCCACTGCCAGACAGGATCCTCAAGAGGAAAAGTTTTGGTGAGTGCCAGTTTAAATCCAGACAGTCTAAAGTGTGCGTGTGTGTTGTGTGCATGTGTGTTGCACTCGAGTGAAGTGTGCACTCCCTGACAGGTAAGTGTAAAGAGCACCCCAGCACCCATGGCCACCCTCCCCACGGGAAGCTCGTTCACAGGAAAGCTGTCGTCCCTGCTTTACCTGGCCAGGTGGGGACCTGAAGTCAGGTGTCTCGATCCCAAGTGACCGCCTCTTTTTCTGAAAGGAGCCTTTAGACTAGAAGCGAGTGTCATTTCTTGGGGCTGGAGAGGATGCTGCCAAATTTGCTGGGCCCAGGAGGCGGCAGACGAGGTGGAGGGGTGGTGCTGGGGCCGTGTCCTTTCTTCCTGGCTCTGGGCCCCAGGCCTCTA